GGGGTGGGGGGGGGGAATTGCTTCTCGGAGAGGCGTGCGACGCCGACGGGTTTTCCCCGAGCGAGTTAAATCACGCAAGAAACGCGTCCCGATCGCGTAATTCCTCGCGCGTGTAAACGATGAGCCCCGGATCGCGGATCTGGGAGCGAGCCGACGCTCGCTTTCCATCGATTAACGTTACGTACACGTATATACACTCTCTTCCGCAGTACGTTCACTACAAGACGAAGCTGCCAGACATCAAGGAGTTCACCTTGTGCATGTGGACGAAATTCTACAATCACAGCAACGACCATCCCTTGTTCTCGTACGCAGGTGAGCGATCTAGCGAGCTGGTTTCCTTCTCCTTTCACCCGTTTCTTTCTTTCTTTCTTTCTTTTCTTTCTTTTAAGTCCCGAGCGAAAGTTTCTCGATCACGAGAGAACGAGTCGAAAAGTCACGAGAGTCCTGCTTTCGAGCAAAATTTGGAATTTCGGTTTCACGCCAATGGTCAAACCGAATGAATTTCTGTTGTAATAAACGTTTTCGAAGATTTCGAATTTCTCGAACGATTCTTCGCGAATAAAAGCCCGCGTATCTTTCACTTTCTAATGGAAACGTCTGTGATGGAAATTTTCGACGCTTTGATCAATCGTCGCAGCTTAACGATCTTTCTCGAATTCTCTATCCGACGACAGAATTTGAAGAAACTCAGAGATTGAAGAGTCAAGTCGGCAAGAACTGTGCGAAGTAAACGCAAGAGCCTGGAGGCGGTTTCATTCGGTTTACGTTATAGATATCGCGAGTACTCGCGGATAATCGCGCAACGACTCGAATTCCAGAGAAACCCTCGGAACGTGGGTTTCGCAAGCGAGCTCGAGGCGGAGATCGCGCGTAAATACGTGCCGAGAGGGTGACGCAATCGCGCGAAACGCGTCCGTTTTCCCGACGTTTCTCGTCTTTTGTCCCGCCTGTGGTTGTCAAAAGAAAAAAAAAAAAAAAAAAAAAAAAAGAACGCGAACAGAAAATGTATCGGTAGACGTCAATGATTTCGTCCAACGTGGAATGAACACTGTTTGAAAGGAGGAACGTTCGCAACTCGTGTTTCGCGCGATGGCGAAATTGAAAGTTGAAAGAAGTTGGAAGCGTTAACGGTGGCTGAATTTGATTTTCAAGTCGGCGACCAACCGCGCGGGATTCTCTCGTGGGTGGCGAACAGCGCCAGGAGTTCCTACTACATGATGAACATCGACGGGCACAACTTGTACAGATTGAATTATCCGCTCCGATTGAACAAGTGGTATCACTCGTGCCAAAGCTGGAACGGCCGTACTGGAGAATGGCAGATCTGGGTCAACGACGAGCGCGTAGGTCGCGGGTTCAACAACAGGGTAAGTGAGCTTCGCCCCCTTCCACCTCCTCCCCATCCCCCGTGCTTTCTCCACGCTCGGTGGAAAAAATCCGCGGCCGTGAAAGCGACGAATGATGAAGCTAACAGCCGCCGTGAATTACAAAGCAATTCTCGCGCTGAAACGCTGAAACGCCACTCGATCATCTTCTTCCGTATCGCGTAGCGTTCGTTAACGCCGCAACTACCAAAATCCTCGAGATGAATCAACTTGGTGATTTTCGTCAGAAATTTCACAGACGGCGATATTCTTAGCGGTTTAAGTAGTTTTCGTTGTGTGCTAAAATGTTTGGGCATCTATATATATATATAAGAAATGCAACAAGCCAATAGTAGCAACAAGCGTGAGAAGAAGCAATGGTGTTTGGGTTTTCCCCAGCGACAATCGTTTCGAATTCAAACGTCGTCGTCGACACAAGTACGCGCGTACTTTGAATTCGCAACAGATACGCGCGCGTGTTGAACGAGCGAGCAATGCCAGGGTCTGCGTGTCCGTCATTTTCGCGGCAATTTCTCGAAAGTCGGCCGCGCCGACGTGGCGTGGCGTGACGCCGAACTCGAGTAGAAAGCGATCTTCGACTCGAGAAGCCGCTGGGCGCCGTTCGACCGCTGGAAATCGCATCCGGTGCCATTTCTCTTTAAAACTTGCTTGCGTAACTCCTCTCTCTCTCTCTCTCTCTCT